TCATCAAAATATATTGTACACATAGAATTACATGTAAGTAAGTTTTATCAAGTAACCTTGTATATTGTAATATAATATATAAACTAGTTTGTGACCTATGCAATGCATGAATTAATTTTATTTATTAATTAAAATATTTTAAATTTGTGAAATTATTAATTAAAATTTATTACTACAAACAAAACGAAAAGACTATATTAAAATATCTGTTAACAATTAAATATCAATTCACAATAAAATATTTATGTAACCAATAAATAAAAAAAATTACTTTGGATCAAAAAGAAATTTCTTTGGAATATAGTTGATTCCCACTTTTAAATTTATGTGATTCCAAAACTAATAATTAATGTTAAATACCTACTCAAGTTACACAAATATATAAAAACCTATTTAAGTTACAAAACAATAAAAAATAATCTAGAAATTCTTGAATTGAAAAATATTTATTGACTAAGCAAAACTTGCTATCATTACCTTCACGAAAAATAATATTTTGTAGCTTAATATTTATATGCACAATTCATGTTATCACCTTTTTTACTGAGAAAAAATTTGTTAATATAAAAGTTAAAAAGATAAATATTTAAGAATTTAAATATAGTAGCAATAATAATAATTATTCTCTTTACTCTATTTTTGTTTCCCACTTTTCATTTAATAAACCATTATAATAAAAATAACCTTGCATGTTAAAAACCATTATCGAGAAGTTTCATATGTCCAAAAAATAAGTAATAGGATTAATGACTAACCAATTATTTGGCATCTAAGTAGAATCTTCACATAGAGCAGGATTTTCAGAAAGTTAAACTCAATATAGAATATAAAAAATCTAACGAATGAAATGCATATATATTATCTATAAATGATATAAAACCAATTTCTTTATTCAATGATTTTTTCTTGGCATAAAAAATATATACCTCTAAATTTTGTTTTAGTATATGAAAACTGTGATCTTAATAAAAAAAGTAATTAAAATAATTAAAAAATGTGAAGCAAATAAAAAAAGGGTTAAAAATAAACAATAATGTTAGAAAATAGAATTAACTCAAAAAAGAGTTGACAAGCCTTAACTTAATTGTAATATTGATCAAACCATTCAAAAAATATTAAAAATTTTGCATTAAAAAGAATTTAAATAAAAATAATATACTTGTAAATAGACTTGACAATTTAAAACACTGTATGGTAACATGATACAAATATGATACGAAAATAAGACACGAAGGTGACATGACTTAAAATTGTAACAGTAACTATATATGGGTTTAACAAAACAAAAAAAAATTATATTTTATATTTTTGTGTCAACACAAATTATGACACGTAATTTTCATGTAAAACATTATACGAATACATGAATTTTAATATTTTATACTACATGAATACACGAATCATTAGATTCACTTGTAGGATTATTGGATGTGGAAATACATATTTCATATTTAATTTGTAATCAATACGAGTTCAATCAAGGAAATATTAAAAGATTTTGAAAGTATAAAGGATTTAATAAGTGATTTTAATTTGTTTGAATTATTAAAAAAATATCAAATATTAAAAAATTATGAGGAAATCTATGAAGATATTGAAATTTTCAAATTTAAAAGAGATATATGTATATTATTGGAAAATTTTATTTTAAAAGAAATATATCTAAATTATATTTAATTTGTATCCTTTACATATAATTAATCCAAATATTTAAAGTAATATACATAGGAAAAAGTCAAAAAGTTAGTAAAACTATAATGATTTAATCGAAAAATATTTGATATTTAAAAGTTAGCATTTGAATTTGGATTTGATATATGTTGATGATAAGGGTTAGTTGAGATTTTTTGTGATTTAAATTAAGTTAAAGTTTATATAAAATTGAAATATTGGATAAACTTAATTTTTAAAATTTTAAAATTATTTGGTAAATAATTAAAACTGAAGAATTATCCTATGTCTAGATTATACATATAAGTGATCATGCAAAAATGCTTATTTGGTCATATATTTAAAACTATTTTATGTGTCGTCAAAATATATTGTATAAATAAGATTACACATGAGCAAATCTTATAAGGTATTCTTATATATTGTAATAAAATATTATCTATAATTGATTTTTCATTTAAATCTTGATAAACTTTAATCCATAAATATATTTAAATAATAATGTTATCTATAGATAATATCTAATCAGATAAAAGTATTTAAACTTTGATGGTTTATATCTTTATCCTCTAAAGAGAAATTTTTAATCAGATAATTACTTGATAATTCTAAACTCAAAAAATTCCATCAAAGTGACCAATATGGCTTATTATAGTTTAAAAGTTATCTAACAGAGATTTTTTTTTTACTATTATTTAGTTGTGCACTATAATTTCATCTATATGAATAAATGAAAGAAATTTATTAAGTTTATTTTTTTATTTGTTTTTAAAATCATAATAAAAAAGATATTAGCTTAATTGGGTTCTAATTAAATTTATTATGAATTAAGAAATAGAAAAAAGAAACGTTACAGCTGATTTGAAAAAAAAAATCTTACATGATGGAGTGAATAATATATTTATTGAAATAATACCTATCATTAGAAAAAGCATGTTAGTTCTTATAGCATACATAGACTAATAAAAATAGATATTAAATTAATAGGAAGAAAAATACATTTAACTCGTATGTTTTGTGAAATGTTAGGAAAGCTATATAATTAAGAACTATCAACAATAAGAGCTTTTTTGAAATTGTTCCAGTATTTATATCTTTTTTTTTCACATTTTCTTAAAATATTAATATTAAAAGTCCATGACAAATATTGATTTAAATCTAAATTTTATTTTAATTCAAATATATCTAAATATATTTTTTAAAACTGATAGATTGTTTTATTAAAATTATATTTATCTATAACTAATATATTTAAAAGCTGGAGATAATGTAAGGATTATTTATAAAAAATATTAATGACATTAAATGATATTTTTAAAAGTTTTGATAAATTTAAATAATTATGGTAAGTGCAGATAAATTATTTTAAAATTAATTTTAAACTGAGATAGTGATGTATAGGAGAAATGAATTTCATTAGAATTTAAATTGGTTTTTGATTAAATTTTAAAATTTTAGATAATTTAATAATTTTTAAAATATATTTTTTATAAATAATTTAAAATTAATAAATATTTATTGTAATCATAATAAGAAATTTTAGAAAGTATCTTATGTGTCGAAAAAAAAAGCTATTCACGTAAGCGTCCATGTCAATAAATGTTATCTAGTAACTATATATGATGTAATATAATATATATACATAATATGATTTGTGTAAATATTATTATCAATTTTTTTAAAAAAATCATTCCATATATTACTATCTTTTTTATTAATTATAAGTATTTTATTAATAAAATTATTATTTAATATAAAAATAATTTTAATAATTTTAATTACTTATTAATTTTATATATGTCAAGTAAGCTAAAATTTTATTATATACAAATTTTAATTTAATGTATTTAATGGTCTTTTTTTTTTTCATTACAATTTACTTCACCACTACCGCTTATTTTGCATCCAAATATATATCTCATAATTGATTTCATTTTTACTAATATAGTATCCAATCTTATTACTACAATAACTAATCTCATCTCTATTATTGTTTTTAATCTCATTAGAGTCAATTTTACCCCCTATTTAAATGATTCATTTGAATGGACGGTAAAATTAAAAATAGTAGTGGAGGTTAGATGAGTTACTGTAATAATAAATTAAAATTAGTGTAAAGTATATGTTTGGATGCAAAAGTAATAATATAATTAAATGAATTGTAATGAGAAGAAAAAATGACCATTAAGGGTATTAAATTAAAAATTTTATATAATAAAAATTTTAAATTATTTAACATTAATAAAATTTATTTATTATATATAATTTGTTAATAAATAATAAAATATATCAATAAATAATAAATTTTATTCAAATTATTTATTAATCTATTAAATAATAAAAAATATTTATTATATTAAATTAATAAATTTATTTTCATTTTTTAAATAAAAAATAAATTGTAAAGATATTTTTGGCATAATAATAAAATTTAAAGAAAAAATTAAACATCCATTGGCCGGTCAAACAACTAGACAAAAATGATTAGTTGATGACCGACCATTTTTCAATCGCCCCATAATCTCGTTTGGCTTCAAAAGTTGCTTGGGTCACAAATTTTATTGCAACTGCATCGCCATTAAGGGTGCAGTCTAATCAAAATAAAGCCTTAATGCAATTTGAAAATCCTTGACAATCTGGTGAGTATACAAGTAAATCATAACATTAAGAAAAAAGCTCAATTGTAAGCTATATCAAAATGTACACAAAAAGCAGAAGAGCCTGTAACCCAGAAAGCAAAATCTAAGTACATGCAATGAAGCAGAAAGCACACCGTAAAAAAAGAAAGAAGAATAAAGAGAGAGAACTGAGGCGGTAATCTTATTTTAAATCAATGAAAAAAGCATTGGAGGAAGGTAGCGAAAAGGAAGTGAGGTTGACTTCGTTACTGACTAAAGACGGGGTGTGTGGTGCTGCTGAAACGAAAATGGGTAAAGGGTCAAGGTGTTTAAGGTGTGACACACAAATTTGGAAAAAAAAAAAAAAAAAAGCTAAATGCTCAATCAAATCATGAGGTGGCTCAAATATTTTTCAATTTACCTCATCTATTATGTTTGTCCTTCAACAATTTCCATTATTTTCATTTTAGAGAGAAAAAAATAAATTGCTGAAAAAGAAATTTTTTTTTAAATGAAATATTATGTGTCATATTTGAAATTTTAAGGATCACTTTGGATCCGTTGTAAACAAAAGGATATATTTTTGAAGTTTATCCACAAAAATTTAAAAATATCAAATGAATTTATTTATTATTTTATATGTATATCTACTTATAATTAATTTTAAATTTCTTATCTTGTCTTAAACTTAATTTTTTTTTATTCAGGATACCGATGTCGGTTATGCTATACAGTATACACTATATACAACGGAATAGAGAAATTAAAAAAAAAAAAAGAAGGAAAAATAGCAAACAAAAAATTCACCGGCTAAATCTCACGCATATTTATCTTCTGTCTTACTCCCTTTCACGAAGATCTAGGCTTCCGCATTTCACTTCTCTCTATAGTTATTATAAGTTTGTTGTCACAATTAAAGAAACTCCAGTTTTAGTTTTATTAACTTCGGTTTCATGGACAAGAAGCGAATCGAGAGCCCGGTCTACACTCGCCGATGGAGTAGCGATTCGGGGACAGGGAGCTCACTCCGCGCTGTTGAGTCACCTACATTGTCGCCGGCGCGTCACCAACCCCACCACGCCCATTCTTCCTCCGCGACTGGCATTTCCAGCATCAAGAGGACGCAGAACTTCGCCGCGAAAGCCGCGGCTCAGCGGCTAGCTCAGGTCATGGCTTCGCAGACCGCTGATGACGACGATGAAGAAGATGATGGCGACGATCTAGGTTTCCGCTATAGTGCTCCTCCTCCTCTTGCACTGTCTAGGAACGCTAACGCCGCAGCAACGGCTGCTGGTGCCGGTAATAGAGCTGCCGTTAACTCTACGAGGATCGGGAGATCTCCTTCACCTGCGGTAAATTTACTCTATTTGCTAAATTTTTAATATCTTCTTTTATTACTCGTTCGCTTTTTCTTTGTAAAGAGATCGGATTTGACCTTTGAGATCCATGTGGCTCAAAGTTGGTTTTAGTTGCATTGTGTCTTAAATTCTGTTGTTAAGTAATGTTAAGTAATTCCTTCTGAATTCGGATTTGGTGCTTGATTGGAAACTATGGCGGTTAAGAATTTGTATCTGGCTAATGTTAATAAATGCAGGATAATAGCGTGAATTATGGTTCATCTAAGAATGCTTTATGGTTTGGTTGCTAATAATAAACTCCAAACTAGATGTGTGTATGATTTCTGTGTATTTTGGTAGTGTATTTGGAGGCTGACTAGAATATCTAATTCTTTGAAATTAGTTAGCTCGGAACTTTGTAGAGGAAGCACCAACAGTTAGATCAACATCAGCTGGAAGGTCATCAATGTCCCTTCGAACAGCACCACCTGTACCCCCACCAAGTAAAACATCACTGAGGACTGCTGCATCTCTACCCTTGGAGCCTCCAAAAAAGGGGCAACCAGAGAAAAGGTGTAAAATACAGTAATTGACTTACATTCTCGTGCCATCACATTCTATGGAAAAGCAAAGTCAATGAATTAAACGGGTTTCCTTCTTCTATCATTGCACTTCCTGGATGGTCAATTAAAATATAGATACCAACTTGTTCATTGTGTATCTTTATGATGTGTACTTGTTTCATTTTTATGGTCTTTTAGCTTGCATATATAGAATTTGAAATTCCAACAATGTAAATTTTGAGCCATTCCATTTTTGAAACTTCATAGTTAAGCTTTATTATTAAATTCCTGCCTTGAAAGCAATCACTTTTTTTTTCCTATTCTTTCTTTCCCCATTTAGACAACAAGGACATCTTGTTATATCTGTTATGTTTGTATATAAAATACTAGCCTTTGAGGCAATTTCTTTTGGGGTTATTTATGTAGCGAATTAACAAAGTAAATATCCATGAATGCAGATTCGCATCTGACATTGGTTTTAACTCAAAAGATACTGGAGATCACCGTGAGGCTTCTGCACTTCATGATGAAGTAAGCTAATCACACTTTATTCAAATACTTGTTAGTTTCTGTTATTCAAAGAAGTAAATGCATTCTTAACTTGCAATCTGTGAAACTGATAATTATCCGCTATGCAGCTTGATATGCTTCAAGAAGAAAACGAGCATGTGCTAGATAAGGTGTGCAATTCTTGTTCATTCTTTGTCAATTTAACAGGTAACTAATCTTATATCATTTGATTGTGGTTTAATGATTCTTGAATGTACTGTACAGCTCAGACTTGAGGAAGAAAGATGCAAGGAAGTGGAGGCCAGAGTTAAAGAGCTTGAGAAACAGGTAAATAGGTAATTGATTTGCTTTTTCTAATACTTCAAGTCAAGGGTAAATTACCTGTTTGGTCACTTAAACATTTTTGGAGCTTCTGTTGTAGTCACCTTTGAAAAATCACATTTTGGTTACCAATGTTTATAAATGTTATTATTTTGCTCACTTGTTACTTTTAACAGACCTTCACCTGACATTTCACATTACCATCCCTTACCCAAGTGGCATATCCTTGTCAGAGGTGACCAAAATGTTATCTTTCATAGTAAGATGAACAAAAAAATGATTTTGAAAAGTTAAGTGACCAAAAAGGTAATTCATCTAAATTCTATCATTAAATATAAAATGCTTTCAATTAAACTAATAATTAAGATTTTCATCAATTTAGAATCTTTATTATTTCTTTTATTTAAAAAAAGAGTTCTATTGTTTTATTTCTTAAAAAATCACCTTATCTAATCGTATATTTAGTAGAAATTATATATCAAGTTTTATAAATTCCTTTTGCCTATAATCTCATCTAAAAATCGATAGTCATGTAGTGTTATTGATAATTTTAATATAATTTTAGTTATCTATGGTTATGTTGCATAAACCCTGTCAAAGTGTTGGATCACAGCACTCTTGATGATCCTATCCTATTTCTTAAACATCACTCTTCTAATCCTTAAAGTTAAAGCTTAATACCTCCACATTGGAAACTTTAAACTTTAAAAATTGGATTATCTTAGAGACAATTTAGGGGTGCTAATATAGATTATCTTAATAATTTCTTATAATGGTAGAAGATAACTGGAAATTTATAACTTTACATATAAAATATTTTCAATTTTAAAATTAGCCAGTGACCCAATACTATGTAGGTTTACATGTAAACAAAAAATTTAAATCTTGAATCATTTTTTCAAAGTCTAGTAATAGTCAAAGTTTAAAGTTTATATTGCTATTTAGAATTTCAATTGGGAGTAATATACATGTAGATGTTACTTTTTGAATAATTCGAATGTACTAATTAATTATTATTTTAATTGAAAACAATTTATTGTTAGTGATAGAATTTAGAGTAATTTTTGTCACCAAACTTTTCAAAATTTTTTGTTTTGTTCATCCAACTATGAAAGATAATGTTTTGATCATCTTTGACTTGGATATGCCACCTGTCCAAGGTATGGTAATGTGAAATGCTAAGTGGCAAGTCTGTTATCTTTTAATGGATGAGTGACCAAAATAATAGCACTTATAGACATTGGTGACTAAAATGTGAATTTTCAAAGTTGGGTGACTAAAAATAGAAATCGAAAAATTAAGTGACGAAATGGGTAATTTACCCATAAGGCAATGGGTTTTATGAACCTTTTTTTAAGGTTTTCTTCAGGAAATTTTCAAGCTTTTTTTGAGCTTTTATTCATCTTATGGACTTTTTGTTTTTTGTTTTTTCAAATTTGCTTTTGTGTTTGTGTGCAAATGTGTGTTTACTTCAGGTGTTCTTTCTAAACAATTTTCATTTTAACTCTTGACCCTCCTAGTGTTTTTTTCATAGACTGAATATTTGATCGGGTTATATATATTTTAAAGCTTTGCATTTATTGTTGACTTTTTGTTTATTTTTATCTATATTTTATGGTTTATAGTAACCATAAGGACCATAAATGTGATTTGAATTGCTCTTTTCTTTTTTTTTTCCCCTGAATTTTTAGGTTGCTGCTCTTGGAGAAGGGGTATCTTTGGAAGCCAAACTGTTAAACAGGCAGGTTTTCGTTCTAACAACCCCAATCAATACCTCTTTCTATCCCCTATTAATTTTATTTATTTACTTTTTTCTAACATCTTGTGTTACCATCTACAGAAAAGAGGCTGCATTGCGTCAAAGAGAGGTAATTGGGAATTTTCTCTTATACTCCTTTTGCAATATGTAAATGACTAATTCTAGGCTTTCCAGCTCTATTTCAGTTTTTTTTTTTTTCTTTTCTTATTTGATGTTGATTTGAGCTAGGCATATTCAGCCTTGTTGTTAGACTACAAAAATGAGTTGAATGCTAGGTTTCAACTATTGTGATAAACTTGACAGTTTCCTTCTCAGAATAGGACATACAATAATTTTTTCTTCTACTTTAGCTTCAAGAAAATGCAAAAGAAAGGAACCATTTCATTTCCTTTTATTTTATCTTCACAGGCTGCACTTAAGGATGCAAGGCAAACTAAGAATGTTGTAGACAAGGAGATTTTGTCTCTTAGATCTGAAGTTGAGGTAAATATCAGCAAGTAGTCCTTGGGTGTATGGTATAGTCCTACATTATTATCTATTATCTTTCTAAATTAATGTAATAATTTAGCTGTTGCTATGTTGTATCCCTTATGCTTTAATTTTTTTGTTTGAATTAGAATGCTAAAGATGAGGCGACTGCTGTTGTAAGGCAGCTTCATGGAGCTGAATCTGAAGTAAAAGCCCTTCGTTCAATGACTCAAAGAATGATATTGACTCAGAAAGAGATGGTATGTGCTTATATTGTTTCAAGTTGTAAGGAGTCTTTCAGTTGTCATTAGAAGATCAATTCCTTTATGTATCTGAATTTCAGGAAGAAGTTGTCCTTAAGAGATGTTGGCTTGCTCGTTACTGGGGCTTAGCTGCAAGATATGGTAATTAGTGGATATCACATGGTTGAAATTTATCATTGAGAGTGAAGTGGGCCATTCACTTTCAAAATTTTGTTCGTTTGACTTATTCTTGTTGAATAGCTCAGCAGTTATTTTGAAGGGCATGGATGAACACCTGTGAATCTTTTTCTATTTTACTTCATCCTGCCCTATGTCAAACTGCTGGAAGGTTGAGTGGTAATATATTCAAACTGATAATTATAACTTAATTGTATTTAAAGGTAGATAATATATAGTTTATCCATCACCAAGGCCACTCTTTCACATATTTTCTCGTGCTTTGTAGGTATCTGTGCAGATATCGCAGTATTAAAGCATGAATACTGGTCATCATTAGCACCTCTTCCTTTTGAGATGGTTGTTTCTGCTGGACAAAAAGCTAAGGAGGACTTTTCCGGAAAAGGCTAGTAATGATAAATAGTATAAGCTTTGTGGTTAATAGCCAATTATCTTTTTTGATAGCAGATATTGTTCTAGTTAACTAGTTAGCAGCACTTTTCTCATATCATATCATACACATTTGTCCTGTTTTAAGACTATTTACAATGTCGAGCAGGTGATGATGAGAATGAAAAGAGGAGCAAACTTGTTGAGGATTTAAATGACCTCACTGGAGAAGGAAATATTGAAAGTATGCTATCAGTTGAAATGGGTTTGAAGGAGCTTGCATCCTTGAAGGTGCCCCACCTTCTTCCCAAAAAGAAAAAAAGGGTACTATTTGGAATTATGGTGCTATGTTCATTCTACTGGTTTAATAATTCTTGGCTGTGATTTTAAGGTTGAAGAAGCCATTGTGCATGCATTGGCACAACAGAGAAGAGCAAATTCTGTAAGACTCTCATTGTCAGGTACACCCTTTCTTAACTTTTAGCATCTTAGCTTAATTATCTGATGGCTTTTCTAATTGGTAAATTTTCTTTGATTTTATTGTAAGCTGATTTCATTGCTTTTTGCTAATATAATGCATGTTTTAGCTACTGATAACTGCCTCTAAAGCTGTCACTTCTGATCTGTCTGAGTTCTTTACATGCACTTTTTCAGATATCAAATCACCGCGTGATCCAAAGTTCATGGAGGCATTTGGTAAGTCATATTATTTATTTATTTATTTTCTGTTCTTTTGTTTGTATTTCCATGTGCCAAAATGAAGGAAAATAACCATGGTACTGAGTAAATGATGGCGATTAATATGAGCCTGTGCTGCTCAGAAAATAGAAACAGTTGAACATGATTCCAATTAGTAGATATAGTCTGATTCAGTTGATTAGCTTCAAGTAGTAGATGAGTTCTTGGAGGGCCTACCTGCTTGTGCAAAAGTTGTTTTTCCCGGTGGTGAAGTTATGTCCATGGTCTATCTAATATTGTATGCCTTTGTGCTGTAGATATTCTATCCAATATTGAGTATTTAGTCATCCCTTTCTGGATTGAAACAGCTTTTTATCATCTTCTTGCTCTTAGTAGATGCAATTGCTGATTATCAACTTTTGAAAGAGTTATAATCCAACAAGCTTAACCCTTGCACTTTAGGGTGCCGTAACTAAAGGAGAGAGAGAGAGAGATGATACTTAGAACCATTTATAAAAAGGATGAAAGTAAATGTCTCTCTTGTTTACTCATTATTTCATTGATTCAAGTCATCTTGATGTAACCAGTTTTCTGTGTCATTGGTTTTGACGATTGATAGGAGTATGAATTACTTATGATTATGAGAATGATCAATATGCTTTATTGCAGAACTGAGTCCAGAGGAGTCTGAAGATGTTCTTTTCAAGGAGGTGTGCCTTTTCTCTCTGTTTATCTACATTTATATCTCACTGGTGTTTTGCTGGCTTTTCATTCTGTAATTAATCCACATAAGTTCATGAATGTCTTGGTCTTCCTGTTAAAAGATTTTTTTCTGGTGGCACTAACTTTATCCTAATCCAACTGATTACCAAGTTAAGTCTCTGGTTATAAAATTCAAGAATTAATGGAAATCAGGCTTCACAGCTATTTGCAAATTAAATTGCATGTGCTTCATAATTTGCAATTAATTTCCCTATTATTGCCTCTTTTGTTTCCTTGCCAACTAATAAAGGATGACAAGCTTTAGACTCCTTTGGCTAGACCTGTTTGGCTGTTGGCATACTGCTGAGCTTAATATTGGATTCTCAGTTTGTTAGCCTTTAAATGAATTAGCCACCCGGTTAAATGATTCTTGGTTACTGATGGCCATTGTGCAATGTACAGTAATATTTGTCCCCTAGTATTTTGTATGTCCCATTTTATGAATGGAAAGAGGAATATAAACTATGTTGCTGACCTTGTATACAACATACTGCATAGGCTTGGCTTACATATTTTTGGAGAAGAGCCAAATCCCATGGCATAGAAGAGGATACTGCCAAAGAGCGACTTAAATTTTGGATCAGCCGCAGTGGGCATTCACCAAGTTCGCATGATGCTGTTGATGGTAATTTAAGTTTACTATAAACATTTTCTTCACATGGAAATATCCTTTCACTGCCTCTCACCCTCCAAGCCTTTTGTTTGTTCTCTGTTTGTTTAACTGAACTTTAAATTTAAAGCATGTCTATCATATGCTTGCATGTGTTATGAGTGAGCCCAACCTTCGTGAAAGTAACAACTTATTTCATGTCTCTACTTGTTTAGTTGAGGAAGGATTGATGGAGCTTCGGAAATTGGGAATTGAATGTCGTCTATGGGAAGCATCTCGAAAAGAAACAAATTGATCAGGACTATTCCACTTCAAAGAAATTTGCTAAATAGTAGTTAAGAGAGTTCTTGAGAGGCTGCATTGAGATAATGTATTTTATGTTTTATAAATGTATTAATTTTTATTAGAGCAGCAATGTTTGGTTGCATGCTTGATCTGAGAATTGAGGTATTGCTTCACCGAGTAAATTAGTAAAATGGTAGCGTTCCACTGTACAATCACCGGGTGTGCGGCGTGTTTGATTCAATTTTGTAGTACTCCACAAAGAAGTCTGTATGGTGGAAAAGTCTATTTAGCGAAACTATGGTAATGGTTTGGTCGTACAACTCAATAATAATATATGAATATGGATGTGGATCAGCATTGATGGGATATTTCCAATGGATTATGTCAAGTCCAGTGAATTCTGGGATTTTGTGTTGCATCGGAACATTGTAGCGTTTTCACCTTGCTTTTTTCCCTAATCAAGAAAAGATGGTACGCAAGTTATAACTTTTAAGTCGGCTTTCGAGGTTCCAGTTGGTTGCCTAATTTCACCAATCTATATAGAATGAAATTACTTGTTGCTATTACCCTTTTGTGGGAATTTCATTTGAAGAAAATGCATTTCAATTGCAGACGATGAAAGCGAAGATTTATGCTCCTCAGCAACAAAATTCAGAACTATCTACCCAAAAAAATTTACGAGAAAAAATAACCTCGGTTGAGGCCTTACTCTCCATAGGCTTTATCTGAACGAATAGTTAATTTGGTTTGGTTTAGAGATTGAAAACAATCATTCGTAAGATTAATTTTATAATAATAAAATTAACAGTTACGATGTGATGTATATCTAGATACAAGTGTAATGATGATAATGAAGTGAAATTTAATTAGCAAAGAGAATTATCATTAAAAATATTAAATTAAATTTTTATATAATGAAATTTAAAATATATATTTGATATTTGTGATATTAATAAATAATTAAAATTATTAAACTTATATATTAAATAATATTTTTATAAACAAGTATTTGAAGTATGCATATTGTATTAAGTTGTAAATAGAACCTAACTACCACTTTGAAGTTAGATTGTCATTATATAAAGTAAATACATGAATCCACATTTGCAGTGAGGTCGACGTGAGGTTGGAAGGAGAGTAGTAAATCCTCTTCCTAGAGATGCAAAGGCAAAGTCCTTCGTCAAATTTTAGATGTAATAACATTAAGAGAGTTTTTGGTATAGAGTGATCTATTTAAAATTATGATAACTTACATTTAGTAATTATATCAGTTTATTTTATAGCAATTTAAAAATCGTAATGATATTAAATCATTAAAGTGATAAGTCATTACTTTTGGAGAGTAATTTAATTCTCAACCTAAATGATGAAAAAAGTTTTATCGCCATAAGATAATAATTTTCAATATTATTTTTTGATTAATTTACTCTTGCGAAAAATATAATTAATATTATTCCAAGAAGCTGGCCATTAAAAATTAAAAAAATAATAAAAATTTTTTAATTACTTCTTCTATAAAGTTTTTATGTGATAAATTTATATTGATTAGAAAAAGGATAATGAATTTATTTAATAATTTTTTTAGAAATTATTTTTATCAAAATTTATTTATACTTAAAATTTTTTATAAAATAACATTTAATTAATTTATAAATTGTTAATTCAATAAATATTAAATATTTTACTTTTTTATAAGATTATTTTGAATATTTGTATTATATGATTTATTTTTTCATATAATATCAAATATAATTATTTAAAAAACGTGATTTATAATATTAAATCAAATATGATAACCTAAGATCATTGGTGATTAAATTAATTTGATAATCTTATCATTATGATAATTAGATCATTGCAATAATTTTAAAAATGATACCAATAGTTACTTAAAAATATTTTGGTTTTTTTTTTACATATAATATATTTAAACTTTCGAATAAAAGCAGTCAAATATTTGATGCAAGAGAGTCGAATGCTCCTTAGGTTTATTTTTTAGTCATTTTCCAGGAGAATAATCCACTGCCGGGTGGAGGTTAGTGGTAGACTGCTCTACGAGTAAAATGGGAGTAAAAAAGGTCTAGTCATCCATTGACAGGTTCTCCTCCATTGAACGAATAAGATATGGCACGGTGGAAATGAGCCCACCGTGTAGTTTGGCCCAACAATACTGCAACCGCATTTGTTTGACTCCAAACATACCCTATTAGTACTGAGCCTTGCCTCTAAAATTAAAAGTCTTACGTCCATCTCCTTTTTTATTTTCTTCTAAGGAGATCCACTTGTGCAACCATGTGTCCATAACAGCTGCAATCAGAAATGAGAAGAGCAGAGCCATGCAAGGACTATTAATTTTGTCATTTCTCTAATGGACCGTTGCAAAATGTCCGTTGAAAGATTGGGTAGCCATAGCCTAGCCTTTCTTTATGTTCAGGGGCAACGGCAGAGATAAAAAATAAAAAACAAAAAGCTTTAATATTCATTCGCTCATTAAATTAAAATATATTTTCTTTTTTTTTTCCACCAAATATTTTGCCACTTTCACGTAGCAGAGTATGGCATTCAGCATGCGCTGTAGCCTATGTCATCAGTTTTCACCCTCCTCTAGTTCCCCACAAAGATAAACAAATAGTCTAGGAAATGGGCCCAGATGGGTGCCGCCACAATACCTGCCACTATAGGTCATGTGCACTCGAATTTATTAGTGTCCCCAAGAAAAGAAAAAAAAAAAAAAAAAAACACTCTTTTGGTGAAAGGATGCGAATGGGGAAAGAAGAGAAAGACACTTGCAATTCTAAAGGTAATTTTTTGACCTAATCCCATCCCTCATATCTTATTGCGGTATTTCACTTTCTGTTTGTGAAAAAGGGGCCCTTTGCCTTGCTTTAGAATATTAAATCTTTTGTCAATTTCTATATTTTAAGAGTGGCATATATATATATATCACCTTGAAAGAAGGATGTAGATAAAATCATCTAGAAAATTAACCCTTTTTCTCTTTGTTTCCCTTCATAATTATTGCAATGGAATGATTATATCCGGGATTATGTTTTGAGTGCAACTGATCTTCCAAATATACTTTATAATTTTTTTCAGATGTAAAAGTTTGTATGGGATTTAGTTCAAGTGGCCCATCACTAAGACGAGGGAGAGGATGATTGAGAGGGAAGGTTAACTAGTTACGGATCTAAAATTTTTTTAGAATATTTATTTATAATATATAAAAATATTTATGGAATTATTAATTTTTTTGACGGGAAAAATTTTGAAATATTCCGAGAAATTTTTGTCCCAAATTTTCTTGTTTTTTACTCTCTAGAGATATGAAGAGAAAATTTTAAAATGTTCAGAGAATTTTTTTTTTTTTCTCTTGTGCTTTTAAGTAAAGTTTGCTTTTTGTCTCTAAGAGCTATTGGTATAGCTTGGTGAATGAAGATGTAGTCACATTGGCATGCCATGCTTTTGGGCTTTGGCATGATGAAGATGTTTCTCCGACATGCTCAAGTGGAAATCATTCACCTCTTGACACCATCATCACCTCAGGGCTCACACTCACACAAAAGACAAAATAAATTTCCTCCCAACTGCCTTCGAAGTTATCCACCTATTAGCTGCATTTATTATCAACCTATCTGAAAGTCTTATAGTTCACATTTTTTACATATTTCCGACTTCTTAATTGGCTTGTTGAATTCCAATATCCTTACCAGCTGCTTTGACTATCTTCCATTGTTTCAAGTGTTATTTGCATCTCCTGAGAAGAGTTTGTATTTGCAGTCTAAACAACCAGATTTACACCTCGTATCAGTAGCTTAGCTTAACTGTTCCGACTGCCCAGATCAAGTCATGATGTCCACACCTGTGAGTTTCAAGGATTTTAATTTTATTCATATTTAATAAAGATTTTAATTTTTTATCCAAACGAGGATAAAGATATATATTACATTATGAGTAATTAAATAAAAATAAATATGATTTTAAATTTTTATTGGATATAAAAATAATAATAGGTAATAAAACATTTATACGTACCTGTATCCCATTTATATATTTAGTATATGTATTTTTATTAAATAATATAAATTATTATTTTAAATTAATTAAATTAATTTATTTTTATTAAAAATATATATATTAATATATATTTATAAAAAATGATCTAAATATATAAGATAAAAATAAAAAAATAATTTTTTTTTAACTTTTAGTTTTTTTTTTAAATTATGAATATGAGGATTATTCGTATCTATTAAATACTCGTGAAAATGAAAATAAAAATAAATTTAAAATATTCATAAAATATAAGTATAGGGATAGATTTAATATAAAAATTTAAAGATGAAGATGAGAAATGTTTTAATCTACTGGCATCTTATCCATTAATATCGTTAGTGAGTTTGAAATTTTAGATTGAAAAATAAATAGGAAATTAGGGGGAAAAAATCTTGTACAAGTATATATATTAATCAAAGCTATGATGGAAGAATTGAAAGACATTGTGGGGTACTAACTTCTACCTTAAATTTACAGTCTAGAAATGAGGAGTTTATGGGATCTTTTTGTTATAATTTAAAAAAAAGTTGACTTGCTTTTCCTCTGTCTGTTACTAATATACTGTATTCATCAAAAGAGCTTCTCAAGACCAAAACTTTGCTTCCAGTTCAAGACTCCACAAAAAGCTCGAGCTTCATGCTCCAGTTCCTGTTCCACTCTCATTTCCCTGCACATTTTCCGACAAAACTTATTCATGGGGCCGACCACAAGCATTTCCTGCTTCTTTTAATTTCTCTTTAGTTGAAAAGCTAGCTACTCATTTATTTTTCTGTATTTCTACAAGACAACTGGTATATGGTTTCACTTTCATATACATACGAGAAACAGAAGTGGTCTTCTTTGACATGTGAGCAACAAATCAGTACATAAAGCGCGCGCGCGCACACACACACACACACAAAGCAGTTGCATCATATTTTTTCCTCGCTCTTTACCTATTGTCAAATACTTCAAATTTTCAAAATTTCTAATAATTAAAGAGGTATGCTTTCTGTCTAGTTACAATGCCTCAATGATAAGCACTTTTTATATGTAAATGGAAGATTTTCCCTTCTCAATTATCAAAAGGCTGTAAGATTTGTGTTAGTAGCAATATTTCATGAAAGAAACAAAAGGAAAAAGGCTGTAATGCAGCCGAATGCTGAGGCAGTCAATACTAATTACTTTGTTGTTGGCTATTTGGATCCAAATGATAATATCTGAACCACATAAAAAAGAATCTAGGTGTTTATTTGTTTTAATTGAAGTTTTATATTCAGCTATCCTGAAAAGCAGAACTTTGACATTTGACATCAAGAAAAATTGGTACAAGCCGATTGAATGTGAATGATGAATCCGAGGACACCAATAGTCTATACGTTCATTATGTTATGCTCTGCTTTCACTATGCTTTCACATGCCTTTTAGGTTTATCAGTTGTCACAATCACTGATCAAATCCCCCATTTTGAATGAATCTGTATTTCATTGACCCCTGACCCTTAGGCAATGGAGAATCACAATTTGCACAACACATCTTTTAGAAGTCAAATTGAAATCAAACTTAAAAGCAACAAGCCTGCTAAATGCTTTCTGCCATAACTCCGCTTTAGCGTTTAGCCTTCTTAGCTCGCATGCAGGCCCGATGTAAAAATCTAAGGAGACGAGATTGAGAGAGTGGTGAAGGCTTGGGTACCACGAAACACACTTTACAGCAAGAAAGATCAGACAAATCCAAAGATTTCTTGGACGGACAGGTCAATGAAAGCCAAGCACGATTGCACAATACATGTAAAGATTCTGCCTCAGGCTCAGACTCTAGACGCTAAAAACACGAAAGCGTTTGTTTCCAATTAAAAGATGAGGACACAAGCAAACAGTATAACGTCATCGACGTTGACTGCATTTTCGTTGATGCTAGTTTTCCACCCCCCACCCAGTTCCACGATGGACAAGCGGTGCAAATTTTGGACTTTCTTTCTCCAAAGGCCTAAATTTTCGTAATTGTGAAAATTTATTGCAACATTGGGCCCAGCCCAGGGGATACTCTTGCATGTATGGCATAATAAACTCTCGAAAGATTTCATCAATTTCACTATTATTATGTTTTGACGAGATGAAATCATGAATTATCACAACTTTTTTTTTTTTAATTTTCATAATAGATAAACAACAACGAAATTGGGGAAAAAGAGATACGGTCTGTACTCGTACATATAAAACAGGCCGAAGCACTCAAGTTAAATCTGCAAGAAAATGAAAAAATTATTGGTTCCTGTACCAATCATGATTCTTCTCATCTGCTTTTTTTTATTCTTTTTTTTTTTTTTTCTGAAAAACAGGCGACATTTTTCTTGAGAGAAATAATTACACACCACCTGCTGTGTCAATGTCACGTTGCTTTTGATTTTTGAAGAGGCAAAAACGCAAAATGGAGAAAACTAAAAAAGTAAACAGTGGGAAAGCATTACTGTAAAGCTCCTTTTCTCTGGAACACAACTCAGGCTTACGCTGTACGCTGCGACCAATTACCAAACCAAAGCTGGTAAATACGTAAAAATGGTAGTTCAATGTATTTTTTGGGCTTACTGTAGTATATGTATAGTAGTAGCTTCTAACAAAAGAAAAAAAAAACAAAACGAATAGTGGTGTATGACTGACTGTTTGCTAAAACCTTTAACCTACGTGAGCAAATGTCATCATGGAGGGCTTTCGTAAAGCGTATTCTCTGTTTTCATTTTCAGTAACAGTCTCCTTGCCATTTGCTGACCAGCCCTGGTCACCATCTCCCGAGACTGAACTCATACCATCTCAACCTGAAGACCAAAAAAGAAAAAAAAAAGCCCAACGCGTCTGTTTCAGCTCCTAGAGTCTTTCAAGAAACAAAAAGTTTTTTGCTTTAAGAATTTCACTATATTTATATTATTATATTATTATTTTAGATGTAATAGAATAGTAACAAAAGAACATGACCTCTCTCTTTATAAAATGCACACCCACCTAGCTACGTTGTAGCGATTACTCTCTTTTCTTCTCTCTCTCTCTATTTGGGTTTCTTTGCCCTCTTATTTGAAAAAAGAAAAAAAAAAAAAAAACAATGCTTTCTTTACCCTGGAGAACAGTGGCATTGGGCTTAATTGTACTTCAGGTTTGGTTTTGTGTTCAAGTCGAGTGTTTTCCAGCTCTGTTTGATCGGGTTACTCAGTTACCCGGTCAACCCAAAGTCGGGTTCCAACAATACTCGGGTTATGTGACCGTTGATGAGAAAAAACAGAGAGCCTTGTTTTACTACTTTGCTGAAGCTGAAGTAGATCCAGCTTCCAAGCCTCTTGTCCTCTGGCTCAACGGAGGTCTTCCACTTTTTCAATCTCTCACGCTAAAAGATAATGTTTCTTTTCTACATATTTGTTTAGCACATAATTGGTTTTTCTAACTTTCTGTTGTGAATTGCAGGGCCTGGCTGCTCTTCATTGGGGGTTGGAGCATTTTCTGAGAACGGACCATTCAGGCCTAGTGGGGAAGTGCTGGTGAAGAACCAATATAGCTGGAATAGAGGTAGAGTTACCTATTTATTGTAATAGACGTTTTGTTAATTATGGTCTTTTTAGTTTATATTTATATTCCTGGATATGGTTCTTCTGATTTCAGAAACATCTCAATAACTTGATTGTTAACATTCTCATTCTTTTGCAGAAGCCAATATATTGTATTTGGAAGCCCCAATTGGAGTTGGGTTCTCTTATTCTACTGACGTCTCCTCTTATGAGGCTGTTAATGACAAGATCACTGGTAAGTCTCCAATCTAACAGATTTTATTTATGTTTTAATCAATTCCCATTTTCTGTTCTTTGAAAATAATAAAATAAAGAGTAATTAACTCCACATTCCTATGTGTGAAAGTAATCTTGAGTCGCAGAAGAAACAGATTTTCTATACCGGATACTCAAGAGAATTTATTTTCCTACTCTCTTTCCTCTCCCATTGTCTTTTTAAATTTTGGGTTATCTTATTTTTTTTCTCAAACTTCCTTTTTTCCCTCTCCTTTTTTGACTTCTTTTCACGCAAAGGGTCCGAGAATATTTCATAATGTTGTGATGCCGTCTGTGTTTGTCTTTCACTTTACGGTAATGGCATGTTCGATGCATACTGTTCTTTTTTTTTTTTTCCATCTCACTTGACAAAAGTTCACCTTCCAGGCTACCTTTCATCTTTCAAACTTTGTCTCTCTTTGTTATTGTAGCCAGGGACAATCTGGTGTTTTTGCAAAATTGGTTCCTCAAATTCCCTCAGTACAGGAATAGAAGCCTGTTCATTTCAGGGGAAAGCTACGCAGGTATTATTTTGCTACTCAAAAACATTACTACTATTTCTTTCTTGATTCAGGATTTAATATGAATCAAGACTAATTGTTTTTTATGTCTAAAACTAGGTCATTATATACCTCAGCTGGCAGAACTTATGCTTCAGTTTAATAAGAAGGATAAGCTGTTCAATTTGAAAGGAATTGCTGTAAGTAGTTAGGCAAACAAATTTCAATCTTTTCTTTTTTTGTTTACGTAATGAATCTATAATACCTATTCCTGTTTGCTCCAATAAACTGCAGCTGGGCAATCCTGTTTTAGAATTTGCTACTGATTTTAATTCAAGGGCTGAATTCTTCTGGTCTCATGGACTGATATCGGATTCTACATACAAAATGTTCACCATTTCTTGTAATTACTCGCGATATGTTAGCGAGTATAACAGAGGAACCGTTTCTCCTATTTGTTCAAGGGTGATGAGCCAAGTAAGTACAGAAACTAGTAGATTTGTGGACAAGTATGATGTTACCCTTGATGTCTGTATATCATCAGTGTTATCGCAATCCAAAGTCCTAACTCCCCAAGTGAGTTTAATTTTCACAAACTAGAATGGATTCTTTAATTTTTTACGTTCTAGTCCTTGCTACTTGTTTACTAACTTGGACTTGTTATCTCCTTTTTCTTTGTCCAACAGCAAGTTGGTGAGACTATAGATGTCTGCGTAGAAGATGAAACAGTTAATTATCTAAACAGGCAAGATGTGCAGAAGGCTCTCCATGCACGTCTTGTAGGAGTCCATAAATGGGCTGTCTGCAGCAAGTAATTCTTTTCTGCAGAATTCATATCCAATGATCATTGTTTTTACAGCCAGTAATAAAAACTTTATAAATCTTTTTAACCCATGGAACAAGAATAATATTTAAGTTCAGATATTCTGCTAAACTTCTTTATTCGGATTTGAAGCTTTGTGCATGCGATGAGTTTTTTGATATAGTCGCCTAATAATCTTCCTTCTATTTTTGTCCATCAGTGTCCTAGATTATGAACCGCTTGATCTGGAGATACCAACAATCACTATCGTGGGTGGACTCGTGAAGGCAGGAATTCCAGTCATGGTATACAGGTAAATGGTTCTCACAGTAACGGTTTTCTTCTTGTTTTCTGAACATTAGTGCATATGTTTTTTTGTCTGGTTGACTAAACTGCTCATAAATGACGTTCTTAAAAATAGTGGGGATCAAGATTCTGTCATCCCATTGACTGGAAGTCGAACATTAGTTAATCGATTGGCCAAGGAATTGGGTTTGAAAACCACTGTGCCTTACCGAGTTTGGTTTGGAGGGCAGCAGGTAAATCTCAATGGAGATTACTAAAATTTGAAGTTTATGCTAGTATTATGATGTTATTACCATCTGCGAAGGATAACTCTTTTCATTGCAGGTTGGTGGCTGGACTCAGGTTTATGGAAATATCCTATCCTTTGCCACCATTAGAGGAGCATCCCATGAAGCCCCATTCTCGCAGCCTGAGAGATCACTGGTTCTGTTCAAGGCATTTTTAGAAGGCCGGCCACTACCGGAAGCATTCTGATTTCCTGATCAGTTCTTGGATTGAGAATAAAGATTGAGATTGTAGGTACAGTTTGATTGGTGAAGGCGGTTCTTAACCGTCTGAATATGAAAATTGCGTTTGTCTTTTTGTTCCTTGGTTTCTTACTGGATGTATAAAAAAAAATTTGTAAAGATCTCAAGTAAAGGAAAAAACAGAACTGTTGTCGTCTGGAACTTTGCATCTTGGGTGGGGTAACTGAGGAAAGAATGGAGCCGGAATCATTTCCCTGCTGCATGCTAAAATCACGTAGAATCAAAAAGAAAAAAAAAAAAAAGAATGGAGGAAAGAATTTTATATTATTCATGTCAAAACAACAAGGAGGAGCAAGATGCTCAAGCAGGTCGTAAAGAGCATGTAGAGTTGTTGGGTAGTATTGTGGGATCTTCAACTTGCATTTCCAAGCAATTAAATTCCAAAGCTAGAATAGGTTTTGATAACATAATCGATATGCTGAGGTTTCTTCCTTTATCTACGAGTTCCTCAGCTGTAAAATCTGTAGTTTTGAAATCACTGTTTCTGTCCTTTGAAGGTGATGGTCCTGATACCTTAGCTGGCCGCACCGCTCGCACTCTATCAAGTAAAACGTTCAGAAGACACTTTCAGAGAGAATCAGACACTTCTAATTCTACAATTTTCCCATTTTCCAGTCAGAAAATGGGATGTGGCAAGAGAATTACTTCAATTACACAAGTGATATACATGTTAAAGCCATTAGATATGACAAACATACGAGTACTAATGTTCATAACGCAATAGGTTGAAAACCATTCTCGCGTAGAATTGCACAAGATATTTTTGCTTCAAGAATGTCTACCAGATTCGGTATCATAACAGTTGGTGACTTTAGTGTCAACTCTCACACTTTTACAGTTTGTTTAGCAGGAAAGAAGAAAAAAGTTTTTGATCTAATGATTGAATTATAAAATTCCAATTATTAGATTAAAATTTTCATCTCTTCCCACCAAAAAAGTTAGATCTTTTCTTTGGCCAGCCAATACATGTTAGTTTAAAACAGTACCTGTAGGCTCAGTCCCTTGCTGAAAGAAAAAAGGTTACCAGTAAAAAAAAAAAAAACTTGGGAAAAGAAAAATATCTTAAATACCTGCAGGCAATGCGGCAAGAATACTTCAAAAGGTTGGGATTATACTCTGTTTGGCCACTGCAATTTCACAACATAAAAATTACCATCTACTTCAAAGAGGAAACTCTGTGAAAAAATAAATCATGTAGGAAATTACCTAAAGCTTGGAAGTGACATTGTGATCAACGGGCCCATCCATTTGTTGAATTTCGGCTTAGGCACTGCAATCACCAAAGATTGTTACCAAAAAAATTGCTATAAAATTAACCACAAGTATTAATGCTAGATGCAAAGAGATAAGCGAAATTCGTTCCCTTCCCTTCCCTTCCCTGTCCTTCCCTGTCATTAGACCTGATGATTTCTGCAAATTTAAGTGATTTTGATTCATTTACATAATAATACTGCTTCACCAGGGGCAATGCTCAAGAATTGGGAGGGCCATCACTTTAGGAGCTAGAACAGCAAATGTTATGAAAGTTTTCATCACATCAAATGGACAAAACCAGTTTGAACTCTTAACTAATTAAAACAATCAGTGCATGAATTCACCATCAGTTATAAGTTTGATATTACAGATATCTGATGAAGCCGTTCCCACAACTTCTGTCACCTGAACATCCATGCAATCTTTTGAGAGGCGGTTAGTGGTCCCAACACCAATCCTGTTTAGAAAGCCACCAAATTTACCCTTTGTTTGTCTAGGAACTGGTGTAATTCTCTGTTTCAAACAAAACATGATTAGACCAATAAACACGATTATGCCTTCAATATAGCAGAGGAACCCCAACAAATAAAGAGTTCACCTTCACAAAGAAGTTGACACATGTTCTCTACAAATTTTTAAGTAGTACTATACAAATTTAGACCAAGCTTATGGACTAGAAGAATTGTGCTAGTGATGAAGCTACAGAGGAACTGGCAGAACAAGCAGTACCTTTGAAAATCTGGCTACCTGACTTGGAAGCCCTACGTTCTGCAAGAAAAAGTCCATGCAAGTTCACACTTCCCATTAGAAGACCTAAAGGAATTATGGCATTAATTGGTTTAAAAATGCATCTGGTTCATAGGGTAGCAGGAACTCTGCAACCTGGTGCAACATTCATATGTTGAACCATAGGCGTTGCAGGAGTCAAGTGTAGAGAAATGGTCTTGGTCTGGAGTTAGAATCAGAGGTGTAATTAAATAAATTACACCAGATTTCTATTTTTGGTGATTAAAAAGACCATCCTGGAATGCTATCCTATTCTAAAACCTCCTCGTCTTACCTTTCGTCCATGGTGACAAGCTTCTTCACTGTTCACAAGAACCCTGGCTGCCCATCTGTTGAAAGTCAAATTAGAAAAAGAAAGAATAAGAGTAGGCAATGTCCGAATACAAAAAAGGAAAAAGAAGAGGATAGAGAATATGAAAAGGCATGTATGAAGATGATAATTCGATAGTCCATCCAATGCCTCTATACAACTGTATTGACTTCTCCTTTACATCATCACCATATTGTGACAGGAACCAAGTAGCTTAAATACATGAGCAGACCTGTTAGGTCTACTGAGTGGAAGGTGGTTTAGGCATTGTAAAGTATACTTCTTCTTGACGCATGAATCCAACACCTACTTCAAAAATGGCAACTTGACCATTTGCTATGCCTCTTAGGGAGGCTACTTGATACTATTGCAAATGTGACTAATAACTTTGAAAGATTCTATAATCTAATAAAAAGTAATAAGATATTCAAGTTATAAAGTTGATTGACCAACATATTAGCTTATAAAGTTAAACGCAATTTAGTGGTGGGTACCAACTAATTTCTGTAGCCCATCGCTTTTATTAGCTGAAGCCAAACCCTCATGAAACTGATAATACTTCGAACAGAACTTCCCTTAGTAGTGCCCTGACTTTTAAAGGCGAACAGGGAATTTATCAAGTGATGATGCATTTTCTCCATCCATGATAATTAACTAGTATTAATCAGCATAAACAAGAGAAGGCAGAAACGTACGCGCAAGATGATGGGGGATTCCACACAATTCCTGCAATCACCACAAGCTGGCAAAGAAACAGTTAACTGATCAGGATGTGATCTAGTTAAGCTCAACCTTTACTTCATGTTTACTAAACTAAAACACTGCAAACAATTGACTTCAAAGGACAGGGTAATGAGCTAATGCAATTTGTAGAAACTGATTCAACAACTTAAGTGCATCATTAAAATTAATTCAAAATCAGAGTATGAAACCTCATCAAAGACCCCGGCCGGGCTGTCATCATAATTGGCAAGGAAAAAACCGCCAAGTGTGTATCTGCATTGTGAATACTTAATTTGTGAAAGACAGAAATTTTGAAACTCCATAATCAACCCCATACGTTGTAAGTAAATGTGACTACCCAAAAGCTTCAACTAAGCGGAACTCCCTTGGAATGAATGCTCTAGCAGTTTCAGCTTTCACAAGATGGAGCTGATACAAGGCACTGAAAATTAAATTCAGATCATTCAATAATCTGGCTAAGAAAGATCAACATATTAACCAAATAACAGGCATGTAAACTTACCTGCCTTTGAATATCCATGGAGGCCTGCCATAGCCTGTTGAACTTTTTGTTTCTCCGTAACCCATGAACTTCATGTTAGCTTTAAAGAAACTAATTTCTTGAACAGCAAGGAGATGCCAAAAAGGCTTTGAATAAAGAACAACAAACAAATTGCAGTTTATTTCATTTGATTGAATAAATAAATAAACTGTAATAAAACAGTAACAGATCTAAATTGCGGAAAGCTGCTTACAGTAGAAATTTTGGTGTCAGAATTTAAATATCTATAGGAGACAAAGGTTTAAGTTATATGGCAGAAATTTTGTGGGCAAGTTGGCTTTGATTGCGAATAAAAATTGGCGTGTGCTTCATATTTCACAGTACACATTTTCTGCCACTAGCCACTGAACTCATACTCAATCCCTTGGGACAAATGAAATGCCAGAAGAGAAGCAGCGAGGACAGATCTAAGAATTGTTTTTAATATATATATATATATATACACACACACACACACCTATATATAAATTGTAAACAAAAAATTGAAACATATATTATATTATTACAATTGTACCCAATGAGTTTTAATATCTTGAAAAAGAATACATAATTATATCATTGTTAATACTACGAAATAAATCCTTCTCGATAGATGTCACTAAACAATTGTTCAACTAAGAACTACAGACAGAATTCAAAGGCGTCCAAAACAAAATTTTGGGATGCCGGTAAAAGATTTTCTTTCAAATATTACTCTTGTTTTCTAATTTTGAGGGTTTACCATGGATCAACTACTGAAGAGAAGAGTGAACAAAACAAAGGGTCCATGAAAACTCAAGTAACCTCAAAGAATATTCATTTTTTGGTGTTAAAATATGAAGAAATGAATCAACTTTGGGGTTTTCCAGTGACGTAATACCTCCCTGCATCCTAATGAAACAAGTCGCTTCTTACCATTTCTTTTCAATTTGTTTTCAAGTCACTGTTTCCACTGTGTATTTAGATTTTAGGGAAAGAGTAACTGCATAGCAATAAAAAAATAGGTAAACCCAAATGATCCCCATCACCCAATATGTAAAACAGAGTCGAACCAAGTTATATAAAAAAAAAATTAAACTAAATCTTGAAAGAAAAGCAAGCAAGAGAAGAGAAGACAAAAAGCTTACAGAGAGAAGGAAGATTTTAGAGGGTCTGAGAAGAGTGTGTTGCAGAGAAAGTTTTTGGTGAAAAGGAAAGAAGCAACCGACAGAGAGAGAAGAGAAGAGAAGAGAAGAGAAGAGACGACAAAGCTGGTGAGCTAAGAAGTAAGCTGAGCCATTCCGCAAGTGCAAGAAGTGGATAGACTTTATTTGCCCATCCTTCCATTTCGTTTGGCGCCAACTGAAAAATAACAATACCAGCAGACAAACAGGCCATCACTTAATTAACGCAAAACCACTTGTTTTCTTTTTGGGTTAAATATTCATTTAGCCCTTATACTATATATATATATATAGTTTAAGATAAATAAAATTTGTAATTAGATATATTAAGATCAAGTTTAATGTAAATAAAGATAAATAGAATAATATAATAATTATTTTATATTATATTTGATTTTTATCTAATTTAAAATTATAAAATTATAAAAAAAATTATTATTCTCTTGATATAGGATGATTCAATTCTCTCAAAGTAAAAAAAAATTATTTTTAATCCATGGATTAAACTTACACGTTTTATTATATTTTTAAAAATTACATCAATAATTTAAATTATATAAACTTTGAAAAAAGATAATTTTGATCAATAAATAAATTAATCATCATACATATCAAAGTAATATTATTTAATCTAATTTTATTTATAATATTATTTTATCATATCTTATTATAATCTTGTATACTAAATATGATCGAACTTTTAGTCCATCATATAATTTGATATTTTGGACCAACGTCACTAGTCTAGATATTGATATGATATAAATACTCAATAAAATAGAAAACGTGACAGCAAAACACATCATTGATAGGTCCATCATTACGTTAGCATTAAAATTTAAATTTTACTAAAGAAATTCAAAAAAATAAAAAAAAACTTAAAGAAAAATCCAAAAAATTCAAATTATAAAAATGAGAAAAAAAACTAAAAAATTAAAAAATGTTAAAATTAAAAAATACAAAATATCAAAACTAAAATTTAAATATATGAAATCTTTTAAATGTAAATATAATATACAAAAAAATTTCAAAATCTAAAAAATTTCATTAAAATGTTGAAAACTTTTAAAAGAATATTGAAAACATTTCTAAAAATTAAAATATTTAATTTTTTTAATTTAAAATTAAAAAAATTCATTAAAAAAATCAAGGAAAAGGCTACAGAGAAAGCGAGAAAGAAAGAGAAAAAAATAGAAAAAAGGCCGCCAGCACCAATGGAGCAGTTGAGGTAGATCAAAATTGATCAATCTCAACCTAGCCATTCATTCACGATTGGTCGATCTATGCTAATGCCCCATTTCTTTTCTCTCTCTCCTCTTTCCATTTTTCTTCTTCTTTCTCTCTTTCATAATTTTCTTATTTTTTTGAATTTTTTTAAAAAATCATATTTTATTTTTTTCAAAAAATTGAATATTCAATTTTTATAAAAAACTTTTTCATTATTTCATTTTTTAAAAATTATATTTTTAAATTTTTTTGTATTTTGTAGACACCTATTTGTGTTCAGGTCTAATTAGGCCTATTAATGTCTGGCCTGATTAAGCCCATTGACATCTAGGCTAATTAGGTCAATTTGTGCCCGGGCTCAATTAGGCCTATTGATGTCCAAGCCCCATTAGGTCCATTTGTGTCTAGGTTCAATTAAGCTCATCCGTGCCCAAGTCTAATTACATAGTTTTTTATACATTATATTATATTATTATCATATTATTATTATTATTATTATTATTATTATTATTATTATTATTATTATTATTATTATTATTATTATTATTTGCTTTTTCTTTTTTGTGTTCCTTTTCTTTCTTTACTGCTTTATTTTTTTTATCCAATTTGTACGTAGATAAGAAAACAAGGAATTAGAATCGGAATCCTTAGTCAAAGTTTTAACTACAAATTGTATTGCTAGAATTTTGGACCCAAAAATCACGTTAAACAAATGCAATCTAGGATTAAAGCCTGTGATTGATTCTGTTTGTTTCCTAAAATTATTCGTAGGACTGGCTACAAATTGGACTGATTTTATAGAGAATAATGCACAAAAAATTATTGAAAAAAAATCTCAAAAATTTTGGGCAGAAAGGGCTCTAAGAGTTTAATTTTGGGATTTTAGTTTAATTTATAGTTCTAAGTGTGATTCTAGGTTTCTAAAGGTAAATTTGAGGCTGTGGAAGGTTTTGGAAAGGATTTAGAGCTTTCTGAGATTTTTTGAGAATTTTTTAGGTTTTTTAGGTTTGAATGAGTTTTTTTATGAATATTTGAATTTTTTGTGATTCTTTCGTGAGGGTTTGAAGTTTCCGATGAGATTTCAGTGAGATTTCCAGAATCTGATAAGTTTTCTAGAAATTGGTGGGTTTTTCAGTTTTTGATTGAATTTTTTACGATATCCCTAAAAATTAGTGGAATACTCAGTTTCCAGTTGAATTTGTCGATGAGTTTTTAGGGAATTTTTAGAGAGAATGTAGAGAAAAATCGACTAGAGAGAAGGGAAGAGGCTTTTGAGCAAAAAAGCGTTGAACCTGACTTACATACCTCCTTTCCATGACGTCGTTTTGGCTGCTTAAGATCCACATGAACCCAAATCAGGATCCGTGTGCTGACTTTGGTATCGACCCTACTCGATCGCAGGTTTTTCCTTTTTCCTTTTTCATTTTTTTATTTTTTTATTTTAATTTTATTTTACTTTATGTTTAACCCATTTTTTATTATTTTTTTGGTTTTATTTTTTTTAAATGTTATTATTTCCATTTTGTTTCTAAAAGTAAAAAAAAATAAAAAATAATTCTAAAAATTTTTTAAAAAAAAAAAACTTTTGTGAATAAAGTTTTCAAAATAATAAAAAAATCTTTTCAATAAAAAATGGTCTTTTCAAATAAACAAAAATAAATTTGTTTATCCTCTAAACTATTAGAGGATTGTTTCAAAGTAAGTCCTACCAAACTATTGGAAGATTTTACTAATTTTTTTACAATAAAATAAATCAATAAATCTGACGATAGAGCCTTTTCAAAATAGGACATTAGTCTCTATGAATACTCCTGATGTGAAAAAATTATCTTAAATTGCTACCAAACTATTGGGACAATTTTAAGATTAATTTTCAATATTAAATTATTTGGTAAATCATAAAAATGAGCAAGGCTTGGATAATTTGAAATCAAACTGGTACCATCTTTTGGATGGGCATTGTGAGGGTGCTACAACCTTCTTCATGAGTAACCGACTCTCAAATCTAACATCTATTTCTGTATATCAGAATATGTTTTGGGTGACTAATCACACTTAGACAAAAAAGATTAGTGGCGACTTCCTTTCATCCATGTCTAGCATTGGTCCACGGATTTATATGTTATGACAGTTTGATAACTCTACTGGAGACCTTGAAAGTCAAGCCAGTAAATGATTTCCTATTATTCAAGCCTCGCTTAATAAGTTTAGAATTATTTCCTTTCATTGCTTATATTTGCTTTACTATTTATTTTTCTTCACATTGTGTATACTTTATTAATTATTCATTTGTTTTTCTTTTTATTGCTTTTATTTGCTTGATTGCCTATTTATTGTATATATATCTACCATTTATTTGCATGTGCATAACATAAGCCCTCCACCCGAGCTTTACCTTTTGGAAGGAGTGAAGTACCTATGCTCTCGTGAGATTTCATGTTTTCGCATGAGCTTGCGAAACACTCATACTCAAATTGAACCCTTTTCGCTTATAACTTATGATGGGTGAAGATTGAAGTGCCTTATTAGTCTATGGTGGACCATGATGTTAGGAACAATTTGGAAACCTTTTAGAATTAACCCAAACCGCATATAGTCAGCCTTAAGAGTCAACCATAGATAGAGGCTTATCCTCTCACCCTATGTAATTCACCCAAAATTCAAGGTCATGCTATTGTCTTACTTGCTATATGGTGTTTCTTACTTGCTTTATTGAAGTGACTAACTAATTTTTTTATCTTTTTTTACTTCTTTTCTTTTGTGCATATTCATAAAACATGTTTATAGATTGCATAGTATTCTTACCCTAAAGTTATTTCAACAAAAGCCTTCATGGATTCCATAGAATGTCAGGTTTATGCCTCATCTATACTATTCAAATGTGACTCTTCCATAGATGTGAAGTTAGAATTAGAAAAGAGGTAACGAAAAGAGAGAGGTTGTTTATCACCTAGTCATGTCTCTATACTATAAAAAAAAGTCTGCCTACTCTTCAAACATAATGATCTAAAAAGCCTATCGGATATATAGAATAGTATGACTCCTTCAAGGCAAGAGACTTTTTGTGATATGTTTGGATATATTACATATCTTTTATCAGTGGTGGTCAACCACTCACTTATCAAGGTGATGGTACAGTTTTAGGATCCTTCCTATCGATGTTTCATCTTTAATGAGGTTGATCTAGTACTAACAATAGAGGAGTACTCAACTCTAGTAGGTACGTATCTTTTATATCCAGATAGAATATACATAAATAAACTCAAATCAAGAAGTCATAAGAAATTGGGCTAGATTCTAAGAATGGGAAAGAAGACTATGGATTTCTACATTCAAGAAAAATGAGAGCATAAGGCTATTCTATGGAAAATTCACTAAGATTTTATTATCAAGCATCTAGATGATGATCAGGGAATGAATGCATTTGCTTTAGCCATATATAGATTGGTCATTTTTCCTAAGGTCTTAGACCACATTGAGATATAAATGGGGGATTTATTTGAGTAGATTGAAAGGGGGTGTAATCTTTCACCAGCTATCTTGATAAAAACCATCAGATCTCTAAATTTTTGTAAGCAGAATGACAAAGCATGTTTCATGGGTTACATACCCTTATTATATATATGGATGAAAAGTTATTTCAAATGCAAAAAAAGTGCTTTTACCAAACTTTATTTATACACTCAGAGTTTGATTAGAGAGTTTTGTTAGAGCATTTGGTCAGAAACAAAGACTCAAAAATAGTGAAAGTGTCTATTACAAGAGCTTATAGCTAGTTAGGTAAAATTGTTAGCTCCGTGGATGAATAGGGAACTTATGTTGTATCAATGTGGAGATGAGATAAGGGTTTCACTTTTAGGTCTATGGGGTCAATGAGTTATGCACCATTGATGGTAAGGAGACAGTATGGAGCCGAATAGTTTACTTCTATGACCTACAAGCTCAGTTAGTTTAATTATTCATATAGGGAGCCCAAAACTTTTCAGAAGATTGATAGCATGAGTAAGGCCTA